GTTCCTGATTTCGTTTTTCTGGTATTTGACTTTGGCTTCGTTTTGACTTCCCTGATTTCTCATATGCTTGACATCTGGCTTTGTGGCTCATTGTGTGTAGAATATTGCATATTCTATGTTTCTATTGATTATATATATGGATGTGTGGATTGACATAAGTAACAGATGGTATCAATAAGTCACAAGGCTTTCTTTGTCCGAGAGCTCTGGAATGTGGATTCGGGGGTCTTTTCCTTATATGGCTAGAGTTAAATGCTGACGTTAGTATTAGCACATCTTTATAGTAACAGAGGGACACGAGGTCGCTCTCAGTCTTGGCTTGGCTCTTGGCTCTGTACAACGATGTAACTCTCCCATCAGAAGTACAGCAATTACCATCTGCTGTTGAATGTCCATAATCCTGTAACATCCTTTATTATGTTTTATTATGTATCCGTAACAAAGAATAAACCTGAAGAAACCGTAAGTCAGATTGCGTATTACTACTTTTCAATAATATAGACATATATTATTGTGGCGAGCATTTGGCCCAAGAATATATATACAAAAGACGTATATATATCAATCAACTGAAGATAAGAAGAAATTAAGAAGATTCAACATGAACTTCCATTCATTACATTTTTTACATTGTGTTTCATTTTGTGTCCCTGATCTCGGCAAGTATTTTGACTATTCTGCGGTACGTTAAGTCCGGCCATTGAAAGGTCCGGTTAGACGTTATCCTTAGTCATAGGTGAGATAGTATTCCACGTACTGGATCAACTATAATCCTGACAGTTGTGTTAAAGATCCATTATTAGTTTAATTGGTATTCTTTCACTCTAACTTTGTGAATTACAGTTATATGAAGGGAAAATGGGGATCAATAATTTTTTGCACTTTATATATTTGTTTGCACTATGTATATGTATTCTTGTGTTTTGTAGGTTGTTTCAATAATAGAAGGTAACTTTAGGACTGTATATCATATATTATTTATTTATAATTATTAGTTTTATTTACCCAAATAGCTACCAGGAACACCTAATCTTCACTAATCACCCACCTCGTTGGTATTTTACCACCTAAACAGTAGAATAGTAGTTGATAGGGGGTGGGATGATAAATTAAAGATAGAGAGAAACATGTCAGTTGTCATTCCGTTATCTATTAGTCACGTATAGTGGGTTAGGATTCAAATACATTAAATTATGGACAGCTGCTACTGCACACCTGTTAATAACTCCCATCCCATTCAATGTGGAATAGGTCTAAAATTACAATAAATTACAAAATCCATGTATTGTTAACAAATTCTCCCAAATTCTCCCACTAACGTCTAATAGATGATTTGTGAAATAAATGAGTCAATGAGCATCTGGGGATTTCCACACATTTCTACCTACATCCCTTTAGTAGATGGATGTCCATCTAAATAATAATTGAGGAAAGTCGCGTCATTTGTCCACCCCATTGTATGGTATTTAATGATGATTTTTTGTGGAGAGGTATAATAGCTGAAGCTCTCCATCTGTTTTCTCTCCCATCATTTTAGTGATGAGATAACACGTACAAATAAAATAGGGTACGGTTATAAGATATGCTCATTGGATGTGAAAATAATATTAATATTTAGCAAATACTATGATGAACATGCATATGGATGACATGTCCACCAGTCCTGAAGGCCTCCTTGCAGGCTCTCACCCAGTATAACCCTGAGATGCCAATCCCCATGATCATACTTATGGAAAACCTTGCCTCCCCTCAATGTCCTTGTAAAAGTGTTAGATTAAAGGACCACTATAGTGCCAGGAAAACATACTCGTTTTCCTGGCACTATAGTGCCCTGAGGGTGCCCCCACCCTCAGGGACCCCCTCCCGCCCGGCTCTGGAAGGGGGAAAGGGGTAAAAACTTACCTTTTTCCAGCGCTGGGCGGAGAGCTCTCCTCCTCTCCGCCTCCGTTAAGCCCCGCCGGCAGAATGAGCACGCCCGGCAAGAGCTGCGCGCGCATTCAGCCGGTCTCATAGGAAAGCATTTACAATGCTTTCCTATGGACGCTTGCGTGCTCTCACTGTGAAAATCACAGTGAGAAGCACGCAAGCGCCTCTAGTGGCTGTCAATGAGACAGCCACTAGAGGAAACAGGTGGAAGGCTTAACCCATTCATAATTATAGCAGTTTCTCTGAAACTGCTATAATTATGAAAAAATGGGTTAACCCTAGAGGGACCTGGCACCCAGACCTCTTCATTAAGCTGAAGTGGTCTGGGTGCCTAGAGTGGTCCTTTAAATGGTTATGCATTGTTACTTCTAACACTCATAAAAATATTTTTTCCACCTATTCCAAGGTTGCCAATCGTTCCTCTTCCATGTGAGCTGTTCTGACAATTCCTCATGAGGTGCTGCATGTTCATGAATATTTGGAAATTTTCGACCCATAATGCTGTTAATGCTTTGCAATTTTATACCATGTGCACAGAATCATAGGAAGAAGAATTTGTATCCCATGCCAGCCTATGCATTGCATTCAGTGCAAATGAAAACAATGAGGAAAACAATGTAAGGGTGTGTCTTTATTGGAAAGCTTCCTAATAGAAAATAAGCCTGAATAAAATATTTTAGAAATGTAGAAAATATTTAAAAAAACTCAAATGTTGTATATAAATAGTGATCTAAGACTTAATTTCATCATATCCACTAGTCCTTAAAGGACCACTATAGGCACCCAGACCACTTCAGCTTAATGAGGTGGTCTGGGTGCCTGGTCCAGCTAGGTTTAACCCTTTTTTCTATAAACATAGCAGTTTCAGAGAAACTGCTATGTTTATAAATGGGTTAATCCAGCCTCTGGTGCGGGTCTCATTGACAGCCGCTAGAGGTGCTTCCGCACTTCTCACTGTGATTTTCAGAGTGAGAAGACGCCAGCGTCCATAGGAAAGCATTGAGAATGCTTTCCTATGGATTGGCTGAATGCGCGCGTGGCTCTTGCCGCTCATGCGCATTCAGCCGATGACGTCCAAAGGAGGAGGAGAGTCCCCAGAGCCGAGGGTGTCCGGCGCTGGAGAAAGGTGAGTGTTTAACCCACTTCCTCCCCCTTCAGCCCAGCGGGTGTGGTACCCTGAGGGTGGGGGCACTCTCAGGGCACTATAGTGCCAGGAAAACGAGTTTGTTTTCCTGGCACTATAGTGGTCCTCTAACTAAGCTTCTATCACTCGTAAGAGAGTGCAGTATTTAGACACAATGTGCAACCAGAACAGACAAAATAAAGTATCTTTGCATTGTTCCAAACCCTGTGGCTGAACACAATAAGCTATGCTGTTGTCCAGGAGTAAAGGAAGTTGGGTCTCCTGTATTTTCATTTGTTCATGCCAGTAATCATACCACTGAAAAATAAACTCAAGAAAAATAATAATAAACTAACAGCAGCAAAGTTACTTTTTATATTTTCATTCTACTTTTTGCCGTTAAGTAAATCCTCAGTAGTGTACTTTTAAGTATATTTATTCCTTAGTCGATAGCACAGTAATGTGCTCTGTTCTAACAATTATTTGGGAGTTAATGACCCAAGTGAGCTTTTACTAAGTTTGGTGCTATTGATTCTTCCTGTACTTATTACTTTGTAAAATAAATACTGAAAGGAAAAGAATATTTATAGAATTGGTATGGATCTTTATCTGTTTTTCTTGCCTGGCCTCTATTTGGAAATGCACAAAAAATATCAATACACTGTCCACATAAAACACGGACATAAAGTACGCACTTATAAACTGAGGATGTATTGTAGGCTCTGAAATAAGTGGTTCTTAATCTTTTTCTGTAAGGGACTCAAGTTATAGTCATATATAGCTTTTGCTTGAAGACCCATTAATTCCATTGGAAAATTAGGTCGGTCACCAATTATCCTTGTGTACTATAATTAGCTTTGAAATACATTTTGCAAAACCCCTTAATTAAACTCTAATGTGTACCAAAGGGGTCTCCACTGCACTGAGAAAAGCATGCTGATATCTCATTGTTGCCTGGAGCCTGAAGAATATGATATGTTTGTGATCCTCCCATTGGGACACACACTAAAATGACATAGGGACCTATTTTCGAGTCCAAACTAAGGGGTTAAGAGCTTTTGTTCTAAATAATAATATGCAGATAGGGCAGTGTTAAAAAGGGTATTTTTTGTCACATAAGCAACATTTTAGCCAACTAAGGGGCCTTTATCAAGCCTAACATGCAAACACAGTAACATATATTAAACATATATTAAAGTAACATTATAGCGTTAGGAATACAAACATGTTAACATTTTAGGTTCGCAGCCCCTACAGTAAGGAGAAAAAAGAGCATTTTTACTTACATTTTCCTCCTCGGAGAGCCAGTCTCTGGGTAAAGCTTTATCGGGCTAGTGTGCCTGCACGACAAGATGCAGCCCTCCACCAATCAGATGGTCTCTATGACATCATCTGATTGAAATTAGCAGGTTTGTCTCAGCTATTTTTGGCGGAAGGGTTTCTAGTGGTTGTCAAAGTGACAATCTCTAGGCACATTTAACCCATGTATTGTTAACATTGCCATTCCTGCAGAAGGGCAATGTTTTACATTGCCTGGCTTAAATAAAAGGGTCATGGCACCCTGACACCTTCATTGAGTTGAAGTGGTCTGGATGCCTATAAGGTCACCTTAAATACTTTTATGATGGTGACTTTATCAATTAACATTGTTGTTATGATACAATCTAACAAACAATCAGATATATTCATTAACTACAGATTTTCCTAATTCCCAATGTATAAATGAGGTGCATGTATTAAAAATAAAATTAGTAAATAGAGCAAACATTTTCATATTCATAATGTGTCAAAACAGCCAATGTTCAAACCTATTAAAGGAACACTCCAATTAATATATATATATATATAAATATATATATATATATATATATAATATCCAAAATGATGGCTGCACTCCTCGGGCTTCTTTTAAAATCCAAAAAATTTATTAGGCATACATTAAAAATACGATCAACGTTTCAGCCCCACTCTAGGGCTTTCCTCAGGATCAAAAAAATACATACATGTATGTATTTTTTTGATCCTGAGGAAAGCCCTAGAGTGGGGCTGAAACGCTGATCGTAGTTTTAATGTATACCTAATAATTTTTTTGGATTTTAAAAGAAGCCCGAGGAGTGCAGCCATCATTTTGGATATTCTGTGTGAAAACAGCCTGTTGACTTATGCACCCGGCATTACCTAAGAAAGCGTGAGTGCAAGGAAACTTTTGTCTTTTATATATATATATATATATATATTTTTTTTTTATTAGAGAGTTCCTTAAACTTTTTAGAATACCACCTTGTCCGTTATTTCTGCACTGAAAAGGTTAAAATCAATTAAACTCACCTATATTCCAGCTTGTGACGTCATCATTATTGACAACTTGTGTTACATAGGTGATTTATAAATACATGGATTTCTCTTGAAATCAGCATAAAAAAAAGCAAAAACATGCAGAGACATGCAGTTAAAAGAACACAACAGGCATCATAACAACATCATTGTAATTAAGTTGTTATTATGACAGGAGGTCCATAGCAGCGGCTTATCTTTAGGGGTTAAACTGTGTGTCCAGTACACAGTGCCCTATTCCTCTACCCCCTGTTCTTCCGCTGCTCAGATTCTTGCAACTGCAAGTCTCAGACAGGGGCTGCTCTAAGCCAAAAGTAGCTCTCCATTTATAAAATGGCTTAAGAAAAGTACATATTTTCTCAAACCGTTTTTATGAATGGGGAGCTACTGTTTGGTTTACAGCATTAGCTCCTCCTTTAACTAATCAGAGGTGACTCTGTCCTAGTCTATTCAAGGCTTACTCTATCAAGAATCTGGGCAGCGGAAGGACAAGAAGCAGAAATAAACTGTGCTGTATACTGGACTTTGGGGTTATATCATTCATGAAAAGTTTAACCCCTAAAGTCAAGCCGGTGCAAGGGGCCTCAGCACCAAAACAACATTATTTCAATTAAGTTGTTATGGTTCCAGGGGTGTTCCTTTAACTGCCTAGTGATCAGACCATTTTTCAATTTTCTTACCATTAAGGACCAGGGCTGTTTTTACATTTCTGCAGTGTTTGTGTTTAGCTGTAATTTTCCTCTTACCCATTTACTGTACCCACACATATTATATACTGTTTAACTCACCATTAAATGTTTTTTCTAAAGATACAATTATTTTTATCATATCATATAATGAGCTATATAAAAAACTATAAAATATGATGACACCATTTTAAAAAAACACCTTTTCTTACTTTGACCCCCAAAATCTGTTACGTATCTACAACTGCCAGAAAACACCCATGCTAAATAGTTTCTAAATTTTGTCCTGAGTTTAGAAATACCCCATATTAACATGTTCTTATCTTTTTTTGCAAGTTATAGGGCTATAAGTACAAGTAGGACATTGCTGTTTCAAAATGTATATCTTTAAAATGTATCACATTTGTAACACTGTTATCTGTCATAAATCTCGAATCACACCTCACATGTACATATAAAGTAAACATCCTATGGTATTCAATATGGGGTATTCCCAGTTTTCTTTAGTAGCCACTTAGTTACAAACACTGGCCAAAGTTAGTATTTATATTTGTTTGTGTGTGAAAAATGCAAAAAAACAATTATGAACGCTAACTTTGGCCAGTGTTTGTGACTAAGTGGCTACTAAAAAAGACTGAACCCCATTTGCAATACCTTGGGTTGTCTTCTATTGCAAATAGTATGCCATCATGGGGTAATTCCAATTCCTGGGCTACCATATGCTCTCAAAGGCAACTTAACCAATCTGGCAAATTTCAATGTAAAAAAACCCTGAAAATCAAGTCTTATATTTGACCCTGTAACTTTCAAAAACATTATAAAACCTGTACATGGGGGGCACTGTTATACTCAGGAGACTTCGCTGAACACAAATATTAGTGTTTAAAAACAGTAAAACATATCACAACAATGATATCATCAGTGAAAGTGCCGTTTGTGTGTGAAAAATGCATAAAATGTCATTTTTCATATTATATTTATTTATCAATATATACATATATATTTATATATAATTTCATTCTAAGTGTATTTTGATATAAATATACATATATATTAATATCAAAATACAGTTAGAATAAAATTACATATATATATATATATATATATATATAAAATTTAAATGTTTTTATTATTTTTTTATTTACTTATTATTTATATTTTATCATAATATATATACGATATATATAGTTATTATATACACGTGTGTAATTTAATTATACGTGTATTTTTATATTAATATATGTATATATTAATGTAAAAATACATTTATTATGACATTATATATATAAGATCGAATGAAGACTAGTGCACTCTGGGGTCTGTAGAAAGTATAGATGCAATTATTCAGCACAAATCATATATCGACGTTTCAGTCCAACCAGACTTTTCTCATGGTCTTGAGAAAAGTCGGGTTGGACTGAAACGTTGATGTATGATTTGTGCTGAATAAAATCATCTATACTTTCTACAGACCCCAGAGTGCACACGTCTTCATTCCTGCATTATGGCTGGAGTTAGCACCAGGGCATTCTAAAAACCAGTGAACTTGAGTGCGGGGATCATGGTTTGTTTGTATATATATATATAAATATATATATATATATATATATATTTATATTTACTAATACAGGCAGGTCCATAAATATTGGGACATCAACACAATTCTAATATTTTTGGCTCTATACACCAACACAATAGGTTTGAAATGAAATGAACAAGATGTGCTTTAATTTGAGGGTATTTACATCCAAGTCAGGTGAACGGTGTAGGAATTATTTTTTTAGTTATTCTGCAGATGCAGGGAGACTGCCTGTCAGGTCAGGCAGTCCCCCTGCAGGCAGCACTACGGACGTTTATTGCGGCCATGTGACCGCTCTTTCAGAGCGATCATATGGCCTGAGGGGGCCTAATTTGCCGACAGGGGACTGTCTGGGCTGTCATGCAGTCCCCCCAGACCGGGAGCAACACCGATCGCTGGCAGGGGAACGGTGGCGATCTGGTAAGTAGTAATGAATACCGCAGATGTACTAAGTACATCTATGGTCCTTAAGGACCATTTTTTGTCAGATGTACCTAGTACGTTCGTTGTCCTTCAGGAATTAACCCTAAATATACTCCAGCAAGCCGTTGCTTCAATTCACCTCCCGTGAGTAAGTAGGGTTATTTTAGTTAGGGGTAAGCATAGAGGGTCTTATCTAATGATCAAGTGACTAGAGCCTTGTGTGAGGGTATTTTTTAACAATTTTGTACCACAGATTAATTGTGCTTTCTTTGCTCATACCCATTCATATTCATGCAAGTTAGAGAAAGGAATAGCTGTTATGAAGTAGGATTCCATGCTTTGAAACTCTTCATAATAAGCAAAACATGGCTTCTAGTCTTCCTTCAACTTGGAACCAGGAGAGGCTTAGGTTTCCATATTTCAGAAGTAGCTGTACTCCCTTGAACTATTTCACTTAGGGAATCTGGGCTTTTGTATTTTTTGTAAGACTTATAAATGCACACTACTAGGGACAACGTCTATACTCTAGGGTCACCTACTGACCCACAACATGCATGACATGGGACTTGCAGTTCATCAAAGTAGTGATCAGGGTGCCCTAAGTGCAAGGAGAGCACTGGCTCCCCAACATTGTAAGTAGTCAAATCACTTTGAATGGTTTGACGTCTTACCTTAGGTCCATGAAGCACCTCTATGACTAAACTACTAATGCCAGAGGGCCATGCAGGGCTTATCTCAGCTAAGCTTCCCAGACTAGTAGTGGAAGCAGAGAGTTGCAGCGTGTGAATACCAGGTATGATGTCAACCCATTCTGAAATGGATCTACTTTAAACTGGGAGGAGAAAGGGTATGGTCCTCTTAGCACCTTAACCACTGAAATGAGTTGTAATAGTCATGGTGCATGGAGTGTATTTTTTAACTGCATTATTAGGATAAACTACCCTTTAAATATGCTATTATGACTCCCTTATAGTGAAAGAATAAATACACGGTACCTAATTTACCTAATATTCTTAATTTATCTAATGCATTTTACTCTACTGCTGGGCATCAGTCTGTATAGTCCTTATTTAATGAAATTGGCTGGGGATAATTAGTTATAGTTTAGCCCAAACAGCTCCATGTTAGCCAATCCTTTGGTGCCGTGTTAGAGGGGAGAACGCAACTCTTGTAAGATCACATTTATAAGGTTAACTTCATTCTTACAGAAGTATTAAATTCCATGAATGCATTTCAGCATGTAACTCAAATGTCAATCTCATCCTAAATGACAATGTGATGGCTGAATGCTGCAGATGTAGCTCTTTATTCTAATTTATTGCATTTGTGACTAAAGCATGTAAAGGCACACACTGGAAATGTATTACTTTCTAACGAGTCATGAAATGCCATAAAATGTCATGGGTTTCATCTGTTCTAAAAAGGGAAAAATCGGTTTATTTATTAATTTACATATATTATTAGAACCTATTTATTATATTCAAATTTTCTAACAGAACTGTTAAAATAAATTATTGGTCACACAGCACAGGAACCTTTAAAAATAAATTATTGCTCACTGTAGTTTCATGAATAATATCCCTGCTAGTGGTTGATTTGCATTAAAGGCTTTTCAAGGCTGAGAAAGAGCCAACATTTTAAAGTTAGTTTGTCATAAAGAAAGTTTTACATATCACAACCACAGATTTATTAAACCTAATCAAACAATCAATTTTAAAGTTATAATTAGCACATCCAGTATACATAAAGTTATATACATAATATGTATATTTTTCAATGTTGCAATATACGATTGAAAAAAAATCTTAACTTTGCTAATAATTGGATGCCATTTTACCCACTCCTGAAGGATTTCTAGATTTGGCCGTTGCTGCTCCGAATAGTCGGTGGGAGCAGTGTTATTTAGACGTGTGCACTGCACATCAGTAAACACGTTATTACCATTACCAAATTCCTGCCCATCATTGGGCTATTTTCACTTACCTTTAGGTCTGTGACCTTTTCATTTCTATCCAAAACAAACAATGTTGTTTT